ACCCCGGAGAAACTTAGGCAACGATCGGACTTGCAAGGTATGCCCTCATTTCATTCAAACTTTCAGGGAACGATAGCTTTCTTCCCACAAGTTTAACGATATTCCTCACAACTGGGCAGAGAGCGAAAATCTGGGTCCAATATCTGCACCACCCTTCTAAATCCGCAAGTGCACATTATATATATATATATATATATATATATATATATATATATATATATGCGTCACAATAACCGTATGTGCAACACCGGGTAAATTTGTACGGAAGGCTCATTCAGAACCAATCCTTTGAAGAATCAATACTATCATTCGTAGGGCAGTGCGCTGCGACTAACCGCAACAAAAGATACTCAAGCGTCTTTAATGAATATTTTATAATTTTTAAACACCGATGTGTGAGGAACTGCAGACGGAGCGAACCCCAGTCATGAGGACCTGCTGTTCCGTGTGGCAGCCGGCAACCTGAGCCCCGGGACTTGGAGTGGCGAACCATATAAGGGCCCAATAAGTTAGGCATGGTATTGAACCGGGCGACAACAGGGCTGTCTACCACCAAAGTTGGGTGGCGGGTCTCGAACCTCGGACCACAGAGTCCAAAGCACGCCGGTGACAGCGACTAAACCACTGAACCACCACCACCACCACATAGNATAGGAGAAAAATCCCTGGAAGGACTGTTCAAACAAATTTACCCGGTGTTGCAAATGAGGTTATTGTGATGAAAATACATTTCCTGGGTACAAGTATATGAATGAAAAGACAAGACTGTCGGATACGTATACCTGACAAGCGGCAAGAACCGCGAATCTGATCGTGTGCTTCCAGGAAATTTGTCTAGTTATTTATATACTACTTATTGTAAGATATATATATTTATTCAACACGAAACTGATTATATATACTTGGCAAATGTGCCACAATATGAGGAAAGAAATGTGGAAACGGTTCAAACACAAATCAACGTATAAAAGTATCGCGACAGGTGCGCCATGGACGTCGGTTAGTGTCTCAAGCCTGCCCTTGGGACCTCAACCTGGGAGCCTAGAGCGTCCTGCACGGTAACAGAGAACTGAAGAATTCATAACTATACACCATATCAACTGTTACGTATCGGTTAGTCTCGACCGGTCGAATTCAATTTCCCGAAAACGACCCCAGATTGTTGATTAGTGTTTCTGCTAATTATATTCCATTAGGCTTCCTCATTCCCGCATGCATTGAATTCGGTCTCATTCTATTTGTTACAAATGAAAAATAGCCTGACACAAGTAAATCACCCACTCCAGACGGGATCTCCCACATCACCAAAACACACCGCGGATCCATTCTGCTAGAAACCTGGTTAGTTTCCGCTTTGTGACCTTATCTCAAACTGACCCAACACACCCGATAGCTGTTACTTCAATGCATTGATGACGAATGCACACAATCTCGCTCGTAGCGTTAGGCATCGGTGAATCCTACGTGAGCTTGTACAAGAACATTGGCATGATTCAATACGCGATACGTTAATTTGTTCTCGTATTATGAGGGGTAGCAGTAATTCTTTTCTTTGGCTTTCTTCACTGAATTCAACCATACAATTTGCAGGAAAAGGTCAAACCACGAGTTGTCACATGATGAGAAATGAAGGTATTGGTGGTGGGATTCGAACACCGCTAATGCGATCAAATGCTGGTCACTGGAGTGCTCGGCGCCCTAGGATCCGAACCTTGCCACAGTCACTTACCTGTTTTGTTAGGTGGCTTCGTGATCGTCTGGCTCAAGACCACACCTATCCCACTGAATCATTGTGGTTTTCCACTAAAAGTCTCGGGACCTAGGTTGATGGTTATCATGAATGAACAGATCCTCAGAACTATGAGTTTTAAGTACCCGACTGTCGACCAAAGAAGAGTGCACAGCCAAACCGTGGTTGTGGGTATTAGGCAACTGCGAAACCCTTTATTCATTTTGACCTTGCATATTTTGTTTCATAGGGGGTCAATGTTTTTATTTTTGAATATAATGACCTTTTTATTATTAATTATACCAAACCGTACCAAACGTTATGTAACCGCACGCTTCCAAAAGCGTCAGCACGATTGGGAAGGGTGCCTTGAGCTGTGGCTGCTCACTCTTCTGCATTCCACAAAGTGCGCCTATAAGAAAGGGTTTCCAGTCTCTGCCGAGGAAGCCCTACTTACCGCCTTCTCGCTGCGGTGTTTTCCTACCAAAGTGAGAGGACGAAGAGCCAATATCCGGGGTCATAACCAGATCGTTGAACCACTAGCAGTTCACCTAGGGAAGTTGGCTAAAACCCCTAATTCCAAGCCAAACAAGTAGAAGCGCGCGAACCACACCTTGGTGGTGGCAGTGGTCAGGGCTCGATTTGGTATGGAGTAGAACTGGCACCCTGGACATTTGACCCCGTTCTAGGGGCACTTTTTATTACACACCAGTATGTGATGAACTGCGGACGGGGCGAACCCCATAGTCATGAGTTCCTGCTGTTCAGTGATGGTCCAAAGCACGACTCTGACTAAACCACCGCGCCACGACCACCCGATCCGAGTAACTAGATCCCGATGCCGAATGGATTATGGTTTCACCACCGACCCGCCGCCTTGCAGGTCAGGTTTTAGCTAACCAAAGACTCCGGTTGTGAACAACCCGAGAAAATACACTTGCCTTGGTCTGGCTAACCTGGCAGTATTCCACCCACAAACGAATCCTGGAACTCTCTTTTTTATAAAGACTATTTTGTTGTAATTCGTTTGGCACAGACTGAGCTCAGACAAATCTGAAATATAATATAAATACACATATCGCGATCTCCATGTTCTTGTCTGACCACAGTACTCGAGAACCTAGAACATCACTCAGTAAATTCGGAACTTTTTACTGCCCAGATTTCAGGGTCGTTCATCGTACTCCTCTGAATATCATGTTCTGTATCCCAGATTTACCTGCGACCACGGATAAATTCACCCAATGTAAGGAACTTCTCCACTGTTTATTTCGTTTTCCATTAGTTCCATTATTGAAATATATTTCTAATCTGTGAAAACATGGACGCAGCTATAGTTACCTGCTAGAAAACCAGAAAGGAAACTGAGTCATCAAACATTAGTTTACTCCAAAGCCAACGCCGAAATGCAGTTACATGTCCAAAGAGACACGAATGTCGTCAATTTTCAAGATCATTTTGCATAATTGGACTGCTAGAAGAATCTGAGCCCGTTTTGAACTCAGCGTTTCGAGAACATTTTGTTGCCTCATATCATTCGTCCCAACGTTCAGACAATCAACACCAAGTCGTGGATTTTTCTCTGCCGACTGGCGTGCTTTTAGTTCCGCGACAGTAAGAATTGGTGGGAGTCCGGAATTCTCAGCCAGTGCCATTGGTATGGCTTCCAGGGCATCCGCGAAGGCACGCATTGCATATTGTTCTAAACCTCCGATTTTGTCGGCTTCGGTAGCAACGGCCAGAGTGCAAGCGATCTCACACGCACCACCGCCAGCAACCACGCGAGAATCACGGACCTAAAATTTCAGCAAAGTGCAAGAATTAAAAAAGGTTAATACCAGGGTCGAGTGTAACAAAACAAAATATGAATCCATAGGGGACACATCGTTTTAGCGAGGTTATTTTCATTGATAACTACTTATCATGGGCCCGAATGAAGAATTTTAGCTGTTTCGTGCTTATGCACATTTATTGGATCCATTACTCCATTTTATCGATTGAGGCGATGGAACCCAGTCTGGAGGACCGGGACACTGAACTTTGTCCGATTTCTATCCTCTGACCTTCGCAGCATAAACTTATCTTTCGGCTTAATAGCTCGCTGGGTTATATAAATGTGCTGATCATCAAAACATGTCAAGGTGCAGACTTTTCGTGGTAGGTAGCGACTTCCTGCGAGATGTCGATCGCGCAAATAAAACTGTAATTAGAGTACAAAGGTCACGAGGTGTGCAAACACGTTTGTTGTACTTGTTGAGACTGATACTGGTTCAAAAAAAATTAAGCACCACGGTTTAGTTTTTATAACCATGAACCGTGCAATTCCGTTCGCCGGTTTTGATTGTTGTCACGAGCGCTACAACTTCGAGGTACGTTAATTTTAACCGTCGGAGTGGGAAGTATACACTCCGTCGCATTTCATGACATCTGAAAGGACTGTAGACGGAGTCGGAAGCAACACACGGTCGCTCATCTGATACTCTCCACTCTTCTCGATTGCTAGTACGGTATTTGCCCCAAGCATCAGCAACCAAAACCGGCGCACGATAGTTCGTGGTTGTACAAACTGAACTGAACTGAACTCAGGGGGCTCTCAGATCTATGTTAATACTAACCGCGTGAGACACTCACAATACATTAGGAGAAGTATATGCTATCCAACGGGTCCAAAACTAGCGAATAGGGGGGCACAACTAACTAATTAATGGATAGCGGTAAATAAGGAAGACCCACGATTGTGGAATAAGCTGTCGTGGACAAACAGTGTGTCCACGTGGTGAGTTTTCATTTAACAAGTATCCATTCAATCCTTATAACTTTTCTATTTTCATGCGCAGAACCAATAAGTTCTCTTCATTTTTGTTACACATCTTAGTGTGATGAAAAGCAGACAGAATGGAAAACCTGCTGTTCAGCGATGGAAACCGGCAGCCGAAGCCCCAAAACTTGAAGTGGCAAATCACTTGAGGCCCCGCCAGATCATGCGTGGTATTGAACTGGACGATAGCAAAGCTGCCTACCACGAAAGTTGGGTGGCGGAGGGGGCTCGGAGCATAAGGTTCAAAGAACGCCAAAGACGGTGAATAAACCACTGCATCACCACCACCTCGATCTTCACTGTGTAGTAGCCTCTGTGATTATGGGGTTTACCCCTTTACTGTACATCATGCTTGTCATTCAATAAAAAAATATTCGCGCAAGTCACAATGCTATCTAAAAACACAAAATTTTCGTATGGATTTTCTGCCAGATAAGAACCTGAGAGGTCCCCGGACATAGGTGCTGATTGTCGGTGATCATCCACCCAGTGAGACAATCCACATTTATGCATGGTTCGGTTCAATTGTTTGTACAACCATTAATCATGCGCCTTCGTGCGCCGGTTTTGGTTAATCATGTAGTCATCCACTTTTTTACCCGCGACCTATGGACGCACTCGATGTCGCGCTTGCTTGCCTTGCTGTAGTTCATGCTTTCCAGTGAGTAAAAAATAAGATGAATAAGACGAACCGGTTGACAAGAGTAGGATTGAGTGATCAACAATGATAACAGCCTTCGGTAGAATCACATCACATTTCCATTTAAATTTTGCGACTCTTTTAGAACTAATTTATTCAAATACCCTTCGAAATCAATGTCAGCCGTGAAATCAGATTAGTTATTATGTTCAAGTTAGGTTAAGTAAACGGCATACCAATCCCCTAGTGCCATAGCTATGCCTCACGAAGGATTCGCTCGTTTTAACACGGAGTGCCAAAAGCGGAGGTACGAACAGCGTGCATGATCTATAAAGCTGTGGTGGCATGAAATAAACATTGTGTAGTGAAAGTGGAAATAGTTGAATATACTTACCAAGTTCCTCACAACACACAACGCATCGTGCAAAGCACGCTTGGCTTCATCAACGATCATTCGAGAGCTTCCGCGAAGGAAACAAGTAACAGCCTTGGAGTTGACGCAATCCTCAATCACCAACATACGTTCCTTTGTTGTACCGAAAGATAGTTCGCGAACACTACCGGCTTTGCCCAGTTTCTCGCTGGTGAGCTCCTCAAAACGTGGAACAATACGACCTCCCGTGGCAATCGCGATAAGTTCGATCTCTGGCCCACCAACCCAGCGGACAGCTGGGAGCTTCTCTTGCAACAAAAGATGATTAGCTTCGTCGTCAAAACCCCATTGACAAATAACAAGGTTGGCACCAGTGTCTTTCACCCTAAAAAGAAAAAAACCAATTGTGCTATTTACTGTGACGGACTGGTGGTTAAATTCACCGTCATTACTAAGAACAGAGCCAGAATTCCACTTAAATCAGATCGTTGTGGGAGTAATAAAAAGCTCTCATTCGACATAACACAGTTCCCAATTGGTTTACTACAACATTTTGCCTGTTTGATTATTCCTTTGACTAAAATGTTATTAGCCCCCAGAAGCCTCGGTATGGTCGGGGGTGGGTGTCTAGGGTTGCGACCGGTCAACCTTCCCTTGCACCTAGCGAAATGTTCCCATACGAACAAGCGTCTCGAGTAGTCTCTGCTGAGGAAGCCCTACTTACAGCCTTCTCGTG